AATAAGGAAAGAAATAAGATAATTATAACAAATACATTAATAATAGTAAAGTAAATAAACGCATTTTACACAAGGAGAGACATCTTTAGCAGAGCAAGATCGGTTACACAGGGACATTTTCCATAATGTTCTTTTGAAACTCACAAATTATTTTTTTAATTATTATTTTTATTTCTTATATGGTCCAAATAGGACCAGGTAATGTAACTGTGGCTATCTGATAACTTTAACATGTTATTATAACATCTAATTTGTTCTTCACTGCACTCTGGTGGTTGGACTTTGAATAGAGTTACAATTCTGGCCCTGTGTTTTCCCATCAGCTGTCAGAGGTATAACATGTGATACTCATCAGGAAATCAGAAGTACACAACAGCTTTCAACCAACAGAGAATTATAAAGCAGTACCGAATCATGTAAAGAATCAGCAGGATTGAATGAATCAACACTTTACTCTTTTTATTTCTGGAACTTTAATCCAATGTTTATAAATATGCTTTGTCTTTGAGCATTATTTAGAAGTTTTAATTATTATTTCAATGTGGTTAAGAATAAAAAATGAAAAGAAAAAAGGGCGTTATCAAAATCAGTCTAATCGCAGTAAATATAGATGAATGACGATATAAAAAAATGCCTTGCCAAATTCTAATTTTTAATTAAATATAATATTTCACTTTTCCTCAGTACTGTGTTGTAGCTGAAGTCTTTCTTTTTTGCAGGCTAAGATAAAGTTGGGGCAGCAGGAAGCGAGTGACCTGACGGAGCAGATCCTGCAAGTGAAGGAAGCCCTAGAGGAGGAAAAAGACAGAAACCACCATCTGAAACAGCAGAATGACGTACGTTCATGAACTCAACACGCTGCCTGCAGTCAGTCCACCACACGTCCTGTAAACTTGCACCTTTTCATTTCAGGTGTTCTCTGCTGTGCCTGAACGGAAGGTCGTCTTCAACGGCTTGACAGGAAAGGACACACAAGAATTTGATATGGAGACAAATATAGTTTACCCGATGGAGGGCGGGACGGCATTCATTACATTTGAGGAAGAAGTAGGTGAGTCTGTCAGCGAGCTGCTTCCGGTCACACAGAAGCATATTTGTGATGTGATGTACACGGGTTCAATCAATCAATGTTTATTTATATAGCACAATATCACAAATGTTACATTTGTCTCAGTGGCCTTCACAGTTTGTACAGAATATCAGTATGGCAATATGACACCCTCTGTCCTTAGACCCTCACATCGTACAAGGAAAAACTTCAGGAGAAAACCCACAGTTTAAAGGGAAACATGGGAGAAACCTCAGGGAGAGCAACAGAGGAGGGATCCCTCTCCCAGGACGGACAGACGTGCAATAGATGCCGTGTGTAAATCGGAAAGATAATACATTTGCAACATAGGTAGTCCAAATGTTTGGAAATGCATGTGTGTATAATAGGAAGATGAATCCACGAGGATATCCATCCAGGACCTATGATCCAGGACCACAGCCACGACTCAAGATCCAGGGCTCGCGATCCAGGACACAGGACCGCAGCAACAGGATCATCCATGACTCCGGATCCCGGCGTATATAGACACTAAAAAGAAAGAAATTTGGGGAAGCTGGGTTAATCGGAACATGAGAGTACACAGGTATAGACAGAGAGAAGGAGGAAGTAAGATGTCCCCCGACAAACTAAGCCTATACCAGCAAAACTAGGGGCTGAATGGGGTTCATAGAATATTCCTAAAACCCAAATAATATTGGCAAGTCTGAATCGGAAAATGACACCTTTGGAGCATTTTGTGTAGGCTTATTTGAAATGTGCTCACTTTAAAGGTCTCCTATTATACTATGTGTAGGCATATATTATAGGTCTCAGATATATAAACAAACATGTCTATGAAGTGTTTTGCTCAAAATACCAAACAGATCACCCATTCTAGCCATGCCTCATACCCCTGTATTTCAGCCCTGTTAGAGAAGTGCTGATTCCTGGTCCGTAGCTTTAAAAAAATAAAAAATAAATACGAGAGCCGAGACAAGAGCTCATGCAGGATAATTCTACCGGCAGATATAGCTAAATGCTGCCGTGATTAAATACCGTATTATGTCCTTTATCCCAGTAAATGCTCTGATAAGGGACTGGTAGTGCTGATACAACTCTGTATTTATCTGTCATCAGTGGCCAGTAAAATCCTGAAGATGCAGAAGCATGCGGTGAAGGTGGGGACAAGCTGCAAGTTCACTGTGGAGGCCCGGCCAGTTCATCTGATGCTGCCCCAGCTGGTGGAGGTACGACACAGAGCCTTTAATAAATGTTTGACTCTGATCAGTTTTCGTATACATTTCTTGTGTTTTCTTCAAGGTTGTGTCTTCCTGGTCGAATGTACTTATTGTAAGTCGCTTTGGATAAAAGCGTCAGCTAAATGCAATGTAATGTAATGTAATATGTGCTCACCTGTCCGTCCTACAGATCAACTCTGAAGTGAGTTCTCATCACATATTAATCTCCCGCCTGCCCAAAATGAAGATTGAGCCGCTGCTCAACAAGCTGGAGATCCACTTCTCCAAGACTAAACACGGAGGAGGAGAGGTGGAGAAGTGTGAGATGCTGCCTGACTCCTGGACCGTGGCCCTCACCTTTGTGAAGAATGACAGTGAGCAAGCTTCTGTTCTTTACACTTTAATACTGACGTTATGGTGGAACATAGTTTCAGCTCAATGTTATTAACAGGAAGTTCATTTTAGAGGTAATTATTATTATTTTTTATTTCAAACCTTTGAGGTACAGTTAGGAGGCACATTAGTTTGTGCTTTGTACATTATTTGTGCTGTTTTAGGATACTCGATCACATTATCACACAAGGCATGTCATTTCAGAACTGATGAATACTGAATCTGAACTAATGAAATGTTTTTACAATCAGTTGCCAAAGGTTTGATAGTAACCGAGAACCATGACGTGAAGCTGCAGGAGAAGATGCAAAGAGTTAGGGTGACTCCCTTCCTCAACGGAAAGATTACAAACTTAGTGGTGAGCTTTTCTTATGAAAAAATAAGCGTTCTACTCTTTATGTGGTTGCTCTATCAAACTTCTATTTTTCCCCTTTCCCTCTTGCAGACAAAGATGACGGCTTGTCCGCGAACACTGCTGCTGACAGGAATCCCCACCATCATGGATCGGGAGACTCTGCAGGATGAGCTGCAAATCCACTTTCAGAAAAGCTGCCACGGCGGAGGAGAGATTGTAGCCTTCGTCTACAACCCGTTGGGTCAGCACACCTCGGCAGTGTTTGGGGGACCCCCCAAAAATACAGATAAGGAGACAGAATAATGTGTGAGGGGTAATGTGCGGCGGGGCGGTCATTATGGAGACAAGAACACCCTGAAGGATTATTACACGGCCACATCCTAAATAACTTACTATTACTCAACTACTACTATTGTTTATGCTTGGAAAAAAATACTCTACTGGAACTGCGACAAGAACAGCGTAACTTTAAATGAAGGGCAGCACTGATCGATAATAATTATAATAATAGATTTAATTTATTCTTTCCACCAACAAGTTTTTAAACAATGCCAGAGCAGCCCATATAGTGTTCCTGTTAGTGTTTACTTCCTGTCTGTCTTCTTCTGGGGATATCTCTGACTTCCAGGGGTGTTATCGAGTATTAACAACCTCTGAAATGTCCAAATTGACCAATCATAATCGAGTAATCAACTAAGCTGTGGAATAAATAGAAAATACTGCTTTATCATGTCTGTTTGAAAAATCTCTCAGGTTCAGGATGAGATGTAACGACCCTTAATCTGTTTGAGTCTCTTTTTTTGTGAATGACATTTAGTATATTTGAGCTGGAAGTTCTGAGGATGATTTATGACCTCAAAAAACTGCCGGCCATGTTTCTAGAACAAACGCTTTGCCACTCCTGGCACTATTGGTGATATCGATTCTGTCATTTATTGAACTTGACGGAAATATTTATCTTGTTTTTTTTCTAGTAATTTTGAAAGAATAGCATTGAACAATACAATGTTATTGATTCTTCATTAGCTGATAAACCGATCAATCAACAAGGAATACTTTTAAAGGTTTAATCTCATAAACATGTAAAAAGGCTGCTGTGATACTTTCCATCTTTGTTTGTTTTGACTCATGGAAAATCAAATGGAGACACAATCATGTTTGTATTTGTTTACATTGCTATAAATAAAACTCTTGCATTAAACAGTAGATTTCTTGTGTAGTTACAGTCATTGTAGCCCGTTAGCACGACACGGAGACAGCGCATTCTGTGCAAAGCTTAACAGAAACCTCAAAATCAATGCAGCATTGTATTACAACTTCAATTTCTATTTAATATAAAGATTTGTATGACATTTAAAGAATGTGGCAATTGTCAATTTAATTTAAAAAAAGTGTATTTTTTGCCCAGGGTATTAATAATACCTGGTATGTATCGTGATTCACTGGTTCTCGTGACATGGATGCTATTGAAACAAATATGAAATAATCTATAAAAAAAAGAATGTAAAATAATCTTTAAAACCGTTGTGCCTCATAACACACATTTATATTATTTTATCAGAACTTTAGCAGAAGATAATACTGAGGTAATGAAACCCTGTGAGAACGATAGCACTGTTTACAAAGTAAATGTTAACCTAAAGATAACTTTAGTGCAGTAGTCCTAAAAGATTTTAATCTCAGCTGAAAAAGTAAAGAATGGATTTTTCCTTTTAAAAAGTGTTTTAAGAAAAAGAAACACAGATAAAAGCCACACCCTAAATAAAAATAAACAATACTAGTTTGATAGAGTTTCCTTTGAGTCAACTAAATGAGGGATTAAAAAGATCTGGGGGCGGGGATAAAAACTGAGATAGCTCATCAAAACGACCCATTTCGAGTTTGATGGTAATCCACAGGTGGCATAAATAAATGATGTGTTCTTGTAATTGAAACTTTCATATAGTAATAAATACCCACTGATGTCACAAAGTACAAAGAGAGATTAAGCTCAGATCAGGTTTATTGTAAAAACAATACAGCCGATTAAAAGTAACAGCACATTTAGAAACGACTAAACTGACAAGGAATCCAGCTACATCCCCTAGTGCACAAACTGGAAACATAAAAACAGCAGCTGAAGATCCACCAGACGAAGGTCAGGCACTTAGACAGAAGAGAGGGACAGTATGTGTGTAGAAATACAAATACATTCAAAGTAAGGAAAACTAGAGAGGGAAGGACACAAGCTCCAGGATGCAGAAACCCAACTTTGGAAGACAGGATGCCTAATTTCACATGAGACAAGGAAAAATATAATTTAAACCCTCTAAAATAACAACACTATTGGTTACATTGTTTTTGATTACACACAAACTAGTGCCGGAGTAACAGTCTTTCTCTTCTACAGCTCGCCGTCCTATCGTTAGACCTTTTAATCTCTTTCTTTAGATTTTGTGCAGTAGTCTTCTTCACAAACAAAACCAACACACATACAAACTATTCCTAAAAGCTGAGTCAAACCAGGTTTAAAATACAAACCTGACATTTAACAAGGTCAGTGCAAACTCTGGTGTCAAAGTGACGTGGCCCCATAAAAACTAACAGCGTGACTCTCGTATCATTATGTGCACGGCCGTAACAAAACTTTATCCCTTATCTTATGATGCGTTTACAGGTTCTACTCATACGCAACAGTTAAAGGTTTTGGAGTATACACCACAAGTTGTTGTAAGTAGTACAGGTTATTGTTAATATAAGGTTTTCCTGTTATGAAATAAGTTTTATGACGTTTGTGAATGAGAAACAGCACGTACAGACTGCGTGCTGCTAAGAGTTAAACTGTACTACACTGCAAATATTTAGCTGCTTTAATATTGCAAATATTTCACCTTCGATATCTGAAATATGTCAGTTTGTGCCTTTTTTACATTTTTTTTATAAATGCCAGGGTGCAATGTCGATAAAAATAAATGTGTGTGCTCTTTACCACAGGGAATTAGTTCAAGTATATATGTGTGGAGTGTATTTTGAATACAAATCAACCAGAATAGATTAACATTTAGAATATCCTTGAGTTAGTCTAATATACAGTATAAAAATTGACTGCATTTGTTTTCCCGATGTTTTTCATAGAAAGCAGTTTCTACTGCATCATCCTATATGCCCAATAATAGGGTGGGGTCGAGTCCTAACATTGCATATTGTTAATATTGCTATCCAAAGCAAACCGTTACATTCATCTGTATTTCTATGAGAATCCACACAGAAAAGAGATGTGTAAAAGTCTACGAAGCCCGACAGGGAGGCACCGTCTCCTCGGTCGGGAGGTATGCAGGAGTGCATTAGTGGGTTGAGAGTGGGGGGGCTGGTGGTGGTCCAAACGGGAAAAAGGGACTGTTGATATAATTGGCATGTGCAGCACGGCCATTTAAACAACCACTGGGGCCCATTCACTTGATTTGCGTCCATACTGGGTAAAGTAAGGGAGAAAAGAGGGCAAAATAATTAATATGCATACAAAGTTTTATTCTTTAGAGAAAACTGCTACAAGGAAACTACTCTATTTTGATAGTTGTTATGTCATTAATCAAAGACACATTTTGAAAAACAATATCTATCGCCTTTCTCCGTTTAAATGAATTGTTTACTGATTATCTTTGGGTTTTGTAAACGGCTGAAGAAAAAGTGTCACACGTTATTTGTGTCATAGACTAAATAAATAATAAAAGGAAATAAAGGCACATTTATAGAACATTTGTGTGCTGCAGCCCTGATTTAAGTCAATAAATGTCTTCCTGAATTGCAATATATGCCCTAAATTGCAGTGAGAAATGTGGACCTTGCACTTTCAGCCAGTTTTTTTCAGCATCAAGGTTTTAAATATTAGCTGAAGTTGAAAAGCTGAAGATGGATATTTGCAGATATCTTATTTAGAGTAGTTCCCTTTTGTTGCCACTTGGAGTCGCCAATATTTAAGTAGAACTGCAACAGTAAAGGAGCTGTTGCACACTGTATTGCACTTACCTGAATGTCAGTAAGCTCTTTGTGGAACCTCTTGGCCAGACCGTTCTGCATAGTCGGGACCTGGTACGTCTGAGAGAGAAAGAAACAGTTAGTCCTTTAGCCCACACTGCTACCCAGAATAATCCACAATCAGCGAGTTTAAATCTTCATCATCAGCTGCCAATGGGGTGACACTACGCCGATTAATCAAGTATTGCAGTCAAGTACAAGTTCAAGGCACTTTAACTTTACTTAAGTATTTCCATTCTGTGCAACATTACACCTAAACAACACTCCATCCAAGAGATATATCCGCTGCATATGTTTGACAGCTTTAGTTACTTTTTAGATTACACATGTTCATCCCCTTCCTGTCCTGAGAAGACCATGTATCTTCAGATGTGATGAATTTTGTAAGAAAAGCTGAAGGCGTTGAAAAACCGTTTTAAGGTAAACAAACGACTCACTGGACAGCGTCATTAAAGATATATGATGATCTTAAAGAGTATGATGCCTTGTTGGGGATTATACCTGGCAGTATATAAATGAGTTCAGATTAACACAACCGTTAACATCAACAGGAGTAAAATGCAACATACAGTTGTATTATTACAAAAACATCATATATAAACACTCACAGGGAATATTTCCTGCACAAGGACTAGTTTTACTTATATGCCAATTACAGGATATAATTAGCTATTCTCAACAGAAGATAGAGAAAGATAACATGAGAAGGCAGGCACAGCAGCTGAGCTCCTACCGTTTCCCTGTAGAGGAGGCTGCCCACGGGGGACACCACGCAGGCCGTCCCCGCCCCGAACACCTCCAGGACCCTCCCAGAGTCCAGAGCCCCCAGCAGCTCAGACATGCTCATCGTACGCTCCGTCACCTTGAACTCACCCTGTCAGACACACAAATTACAGACCGGATGAGTGGGATTTTCCAAAAAGAATAATGTACAGACATACCAAAAATAATCCCTCTCAATGGTCACTTATTTTTCTCTCTGAGCTGATTACCAGCACCCCTCAGAGTTAACCTCAACCCCCAGGTTGGCAAACACATATTGACTGTTACCAAGTGACCAAAAAATGCAATAAGGGGACAAATTCTACAGTTTATCCATCTGGAACATTTAGACGTAATCAATCAACATTTGGAGACATTAGCAGCAGCTCAGGGAGACTGCAAAGAGGTCACAACGCCTGACTCACTGTTCTATAAACACTAGGGGTGTAACGGTTCACAAACATTTCGGTTCGGTACGTACCTCGGTTTTTTGGTCATAAAACAAAACATATATATATATTTTTATTATTATTAAACTGTGAATAATGTATTCACTCAAATAAATACAAAATATAATAAAATGAACATTAAGGTGCAGCATTTCGATGAACTGAAATAATCTGTATTTGAACTGTACTAGCACCTAAGCAGCCAGTTTGACATTATGACTTGCTTGTCATTGTATTTTCATGTTTTTTTAAAGAAAAATGAACTTGTCCACATTGCTTGCCGAAAGGGCAGATCTGCTGGCACTAACAATGTCTCCTGCTGTGGAGAAAACCCTCTCTAGGGACAGAGGTAGCAGATACAGCCAGGTAGCGCTTTGCTAACATGGCAACATAAGGATATTTGGCATTTGTTATAGCTTTGGCTCGGTCTGATCTTTCTGCGAGTGGTGGAGGCTTAAATGCTAGCGGGAGTTGGGTTTGCACTTCAGTCTTTTTTCTTTTGGTACCGGTGATATTCACGTTCGAGTGATGCCTTTTCAAGAGTGTGCAAGTTTGATGTATTGCCAGCCGCGTAACCAATTTTAGTTGAACAATGCCGACAAACAGCTTTGGTTCGGTCCACCTGTCTTTGTCCGTCATCCTTGTACGTAACTGCGAAACCAAAATGTTCCCAAACCGGAGATTTCAATGATGCTGGAGGATTTTCGAGCTCAACTTTATCTGCGTTCGCCATTAATTTTCGACAGTCCCTCAAATTACTGACTACATTTGAACCATAGACTGTATATATAGATTTGAACGCATCCCTCTGACCAGCTCTCATAGTATGCCTCTCATCCAATGAAATGACCTGCTCGCTCTATGACGCGTTGAACCCAATGTGAGCAAATTACTCTGAATGCTGCGACGCAGCACCTGAGATTACTTCCAAAAAGTTGTTCACGTTCTCAATTTTTTACGTTTAACGTTATATTCGTTCGGTACACGTCGGTACACACCTGTACCGAACCGAAGGGCCCGTACCGAATAATTTCGGTACGTGTACCGTTACACCCCTAATAAACACACGTTGAAAATGCCTCTTTACAAATCAGACTGTGCCACAATAGTTCTCCGTTTGCATTTTCTGACGATTTGAGGAGTACGGAGAAAAATAATATGGATGTGAAAATGAAACATCTGTGCTGCTGAGTCCATGTGAGAGCTCAGTCTCCTCTCTGGTGGGCTTACCCAGCTTCTGGACAGGTCCAGCAGCGACTGTCTGGTCACTCCCGGGAGAATGATGCCATCCAGAGGGGGGGTGAACAACTCTTTCTCTGCAGACAAACAGTTTTACCTTTGGTCAATTCACAAGGTGTTTGAATGTCTCTACTAAAGGCAGTGATTAACAGGAAACCTCAGGAAAAACATTTCAGAGTCTAGAGAGGAGAGTCTGACCTCCGTTTTCATTGGTCCAGTAGATGAAGAGGTTCATGGTGCCGACCTCTGTGATCTCCTCCTGCTCTCCGTATAGCCACAGCACCTGCTGGCACCCCCGCTTCACCGCCTCGCTCTGCACCGCGATGGTAGGGCCGTAGTTACTGGAGAGGGGAGATAAACCAAAGACAACGTGTCAAGAGAGCAGCTGGGAGAGAGGAAGACATGTCCAAATGACAGAGGTGTTTGCTTGGGTATTAAGACATGCTGTATACCTTTTTTATTTCAAAAATATTAGATATTAAAATATTACAATCTTATTTAATTACAAAGGATATCAGTTTGTTCACCGCCTCACCTGTTCCTCAATAGTTTTTGATGTAAAAACGAGACATTTAAGTGTTTCAAACAAATTGAGACAAAAGGTGTTTTAGTTTTTCTGAAAAGTTATGAAACCAAACCTTGGGGGGAAATATATCATCCATGTGAACAATAGAGGACTTGGAAAAATGTTGTGGATTAATTTGATTAACTAGCTTCCTTGAACAAATAACAAAGAACCATTTGTCATCTTCTTACTGAGATTGAATAACAACCTAAGAAAACCTGAAGCGCTGCTTTGACTTGTTATTCTTGTAACAGCAGAATTTTTTTTAAAAACACTTTATTTTTGAAAGTTTTCATTACAAAGAAAATCATACAGAATGTCATTGAGCAGTCAAATACATACTATAGATCCAACAGTGCACATTTAAACCAGACTGCCAAAAAGCAGATCAAATATACCCCCCACCCCTACCCCATTTTGTCGCCTTGTAAAGTTATTCTAGTTTACATGTTAGCATGAAAATATAAATAGCTTTCAGTATCCCAGCCGAGTTGGTTCAATATTTACTCCCCTTAAAAATCCAGTGAGTTATTGGCTTCATCTGCAGTTTGTTGCAAATATTGCAGCTAACTGCAAATGTAGGTACCGATTTGGACTTTTTTCATATTTATTAATGTTCAGTGGGTTTTATTTCCATTTTATGGTATCCATTTCATGAGTTTATGCAATTTTATTATAACTATTGTCAAGAATGTTTTATTTCATCTTATTTTAAATCAATTTAACATTCAGTGATGCTAAACATGGCTGATAAAAGCAAAACCACTCAGTAAAGCTATAAACTAGGTACATGGTCTCCATTTAACCCTTTCACACAAACACCGATTCAATAAACATGATAACATAATTACAGACAGAGCAATATCTCTTATACAGTGGGGCAAACAAGTATTTAGTCAGCCACCAATTGTGCAAGTTCTCCCACTTAAAAAGATGAGGCCTGTAATTTTCATCCTAGGTACACTTCAACTATGAGAGACAGAATGGGGGGAAATAATCCAGGAAATCACATTGTAGGATTTTTAATGAATTAATTGGTAAATTCCTCGGTAAAATAAGTATTTGGTCACCTACAAACAAACAAGATTTCTGGCTCTCACAGACCTGTAACTTCTTCTTTAAGAGCCTCCTCTGTCCTCCACTCGTTAACTGTATTAATGGCACCTGTTTGCACTCGTTATCAGTATAAAAGACACCTGTCCACAACCTCAAACAGTCACACTCCAAACTCCACTATGGCCAAGACCAAAGAGCTGTCAAAGGACACCAGAAACAAAATTGTAGACCTGCACCAGGCTGGGAAGACTGCATCTGCAATAGGTAAGCAGCTTGGTGTGAAGAAATCAACTGTGGGAGCAATTATTAGAAAATGGAAGACATACAAGACCACTGATAATCTCCCTCGATCTGGGGCTCAACGCAAGATCTCACCCCGTGGGGTCAAAATGATCACAAGAACGGTGAGCAAAAATCCCAGAACCACACGGGGGGACCTAGTCAATGACCTGCAGAGAGCTGGGACCAAAGTAACAAAGGCTACCATCAGTAACACACTACGCCGCCAGGGACTCAAATCCTGCAGTGCCAGACGTGTCCCCCTGCTTAAGTCAGTACATGTCCAGGCCCGTCTGAAGTTTGATAGAGCATTTAGATCAGGGGTGCCCAACCTTTTTTGAACCGAGAGCTACTTTTAAAGTTGCCAGTCTGCCGAGATCTACCAGTCCAAATCGAGAGGCGTAGCCATTACTGACAGCCTACTATCGGGTAAATACACACTTCTACTTGTATAAAACTGACCTCTGTACGATTAATACTTCATAAAATACTGCAGATCCTTTATCTTACCTCTTTCTAATCTACACACATACAAGTATTTAACTGAAGCTACACAACAGTGTTGTTGAAACAGAGTTGGAATTTATTCACACGTCACTACAGTGGGTCATGTTTTCAAGAAGCATTGAACAGTGCTGCCACATATGACACAGGAAAAAAAGAAAAGACTCTGAACCCTTTCTTTGCCATTATATAAAAATAGTGTTGCTACAAAAGTATAAATTAGGCTTACTAATAAGACAACTCAGATCTGAAGCTACACAGGAATCTGCTGCAACAGTGCAATAAAAAAGACAACATTAATAGAATCAAACCCTTTTTTTGTTGCATTTTAGTAGATTATAAAAAGAAATGCCTTTAAAATAGGATGCAAGCAACACTAGTTTCTTAACCTGAATTGATGATAGACTATAATCAATTTAAGTTTGCATTCTTATACCATTTTGTCCAATAATTATAATGAATAAGTTCAAACAAACTACAACTTACAGCTGATTAATAACGGTATCTAACTTGAGTTTTTATTATATCAAAAACCTGTTGAAATTCTTCTGTTATTTTTACTGTCCCCCAAAAGCGCGTCGGCAGCCTCCAGGAAAGCTTCTTTCACAACTTCGCCGTCTTTGAAAGACTTCATGTGTTTGGCAAGAACGTGACTGACACGATAAGATGCTATGGTAGCAGCCTTGCTCTTGTTGTGAAAATGGACTGCTGTGCATTTAGCTGTCCTTTCAGGCCCCTCCCCTTTTGGGAGCGTAGGGCAGAATTAGGAGGGAATTCCGTCTCGTAGCGTTTGTGCACTGTTTTGAAATGCCGCTCCTAAATTACCCTTCTTCGATAAAGCCACGCTCGCATTGCAGATGAGACAGATGGACTTTGAATTGGAATAGATACAAAAATAATCATCCTCCCACTCGGAGTGAAAATTATATATGTTTTGCTTCTGCCATAATTGCGGTCTTGTGTGTGTGCGGACTGTCACTCCTGTTGACACGGACAACGTTAGCGAACTAGTGCACTGCCCACCAGCCACGCCCCGACACATGGGGTCACGCCGGCCAATCACAAAGCTTTGATGCGTTCAAGTGCATTATTCTGCCACAGGAATATTATGTTACAGGACATTAACGATAAAACAGAATATTGTTGTTCTATTTTTAGACACATCTCGCGATCGACTGGGAATCTCCCCGCGATCGACCGGTCGACTGGTTGGGCACCCCTGATTTAGATGATCCAGAAGAGGATTGGGAGAATGTCATATGGTCAGATGAAACCAAAATAGAAATTTTTGGTAAAAACTCAACTAGACGTGTTTGGAGGAGAAAGAATGCTGAGTTGCATCCAAAGAACACCATACCTACTGTGAAACATGGGGGTGGAAACATCATGCTTTGGGGCTGTTTTTCTGCAAAGGGACCAGGACGACTGATCCGTGTAAAGGAAAGAATGAATGGGGCCATGTATCGTGAGATTTTGAGTGACAACCTCCTTCCATCAGCAAGGGCATTGAAGATGAAACGTGGCTGGATCTTTCAGCATGACAATGATCCCAAACACACCGCCCGGGCAACAAAGGAGTGGCTTCGTAAGAAGCATTTCAAGGTCCTGGAGTGGCCTAGCCAGTCTCCAGATCTCAACCCCATAGAAAATCTTTGGAGGGAGTTGAAAGTCCGTGTTGCCCAGCGACAGCCCCAAAACATCACTGCTCTAGAGGAGATCTGCATGGAGGAAAGGGCCAAAAATACCAGCAACAGTGTGTGAAAACCTTGTGAAGACTTACAGAAAACATTTGACCTCTGTCATTGCCAACAAAGGGTATACAACAAAGTATTGAGATTAACTTTTGTTATTGACCAAATACTTATTTTCCACCATAATTTGAAAATAAATTCTTTACAAATCAGACAATGTGATTTTCTGGATTTTTTTTTTCTCATATTGTCTCTCATAGTTGAGGTATACCTAGGATGAAAATTACAGGCCTCTCTCATCTTTTTAAGTGGGAGAACTTGCACAATTGGTGGCTGACTAAATACTTTTTTGCCCCACTGTATATCCGCTATGCAGTCCAGAAACTGCTGAAGCTTAATCCGACTGGATATTTGAATTGAGAGCAGATTTTGTAGGTTTAGCGAGTTGAGTGGCGGTTCAGTGTTATGTAATCACGCTGAAGCTGAGCAGACTGGCGATGGAACAGGCCTGTGATTAAAGGCTGTGTGGAAAGAGTGGAGATTACAGGAGCTGGAGGAACACACCTTTGGAAAACATTCACTGAGCAACATTACAAATATTTCACATCAGGAAAGTGGATGTGACGTTCATATGTTTTTAAGGTGTTTTTTCTATTACTTAAAAAGACAGCTCAACAGACCTTTCTCAGCAGCGTGATACACTTCATAGCAGGAGAAGATCAGCTTTATTAACATTCATGTTGGCCCTTTTCCATTGATCCACCTGTGTTTGACTGGGTAAACTTGTCATATCACATATCAATTACAAGACCTTTTGACTTGTCCTAAGCATCTGAGACTGATGCCCTGGTATGAGGATACAAAAGATCTGTCCTAACGAAGCTCTTTTGTTCCACCATCTCTCTTTCCTTGGCGCAGATTTCACCTAAACCGCCTCTGTGGCAACGCTTCATGAGCAAAAAGGAAAATAACAGTTGTCCAGATCCAGGGCTGAAAACACAGCTAAGGTGTAAAGCCCTTTAAAGAGTTGACCCAGTCAGGACAGGGTTATAAAGCACCAGCAGGTCCCTGTCAGGGGGAACATCACCAGTCACTGATGGGCAGTCTAAATATGACAAGAGGACAAACTCACCCTCCCATCTTATAGGCCCCAACGCCTCCCTGCCAGGCCCTGACAAATGTAGGGTCCGCCAGCAGAGACACAGGGTTGAAAGACCCCGTGGCGAAGTAAGGTCCCACTGGGCCAACGATCACAAAGAGCATAGCTTCTCCTGGCCGAGACACACCGAGGGAGGGCTGGAGGAGGGGCGAGGAAGGGTAATCAGAAGTTGGTACAACAGCAAGAAGAATATACAAGAATATAATCCAAACACAATTAACACCAGCTGTTTAATCACTTCATACAAGATGGGACCCGGCACGGGTGTAGTGTTAATTTCGTTGACTAAAACTATGACGAAATATGTTCGTCAACAACCTTTTTTTCCATGACGAAAACGAGACGATGACGAGACGGCACCGATGGCAATAAACAATAACTGTAACGAAATCATCATGCAATATCGTTGACGAAAAGTGACGAGACGAAAATGTAGTTTACTAAATAAAAACTATGCCAAAATCGCTCTTTACTTTCGTTGACGAAAAATGAGGAGACGAAATATTATCAAAGATAACGTTACATCTCTGATAGGCAGTTTTTCTCCCAACAGTTCCACTTCCGGTGCTGCGGCAGGGCAGCAGCTGTGTGTCTGTGCTGCGCGCAGCGGTAGATTTGAATTACACCGGGCAGCGGCACACTGTGAACTGTCAGGAAGACTCGGTGTCTAACTCATGGTCTAACTAACCTTATTCAACAGAAAATAAAATGGCAACAACAGGGCTTGGGAGCAGTGGTCGCACTCGCGTTAACCGAATACCCCCCGTCAGCGCGAGTGAGTGATAAATTGTGCACTCGACGGATAATAATGGATTATGAAAAGAAATGTTACGATCCTGTCCGTCAAAATGACTGACAACGAAAAAGTCTAAAGCCACCACTGCTTGGGAGAAAGAAACGTGATATTTGGGCCCATTTTCGCTACAATGAGGCGGAGAAAAAAAGCGAATGTATTGTTTTATCAGAAGGGAAGCAATGTGGCCATAACATAGGTAAAAACACCACAAACCAGTTTTTTATCAAATAAGGACAAGATATAATCTTATTTATTTATATATACTAAAATGACAAATTATTGGTTTTGGCTAGACTAGTTTGACTGAAATGTTCTATATAATCTGATGACTAAAAAAGACTCAACAGTTTTCATTGACAAAAAGTAGACTAAAATAATTAGTTTTCTTTGACTAAAATATGACTAAAATGCTCAGACTTTTAGTCGACTAAATCTTGACTAAAATGTTTACTGTTTTAGTCGACTAAAATAAGACTAAAATGCTCAGACTTTTAGTCGACTAAAACTTGACTAAATAAAAACAGGATGAAGGTGACTAAATATGACTAAAACTAAATAAAAAAATAGCTGACGAAATTAACACTACACGGGTGTCATGAATACAATTAGCTTCTCGGCTAAAGCTCACCTCAATTCCAATGAAGGTGGGTCTGATGTAGAGGCTAGCGTCCTGGGAGAAGGGAACCCACTCCTGGTCGACCTCCACCAGCTTCTTGATGCACTCCAGCAGTTCTCCTTTATCAAACAACTACAGAGGAAAAGACACAAGGACATTAACTGTCAAATAATACTATTCTATGTAAATGTTGGGCTGTTGTGCCTTGAAAAGCAGGTGAATTCCTCTAAAGCTGTAAAATATGTGCCCGGCGAAGGCATCGTTATAAAACATGAGGTAAAAGAGGTTTGTTTGTAGTTTTACCTTAAAGTTAGGCTGTGAAACTTTTGAGAGTGGAACTATAAACATACAGTATTCTGTTTTAGGTTGTCTATTAAAATTTGTATTTTAAATATAATTTTACTTTTCTATTTTACTACTTTAACTAAATGTATCTTTCTCTATAGGTCAGCAAACTAATTTAGTAATATTATGTACAATACTGAAGCTATCTAACATGTTAATTACTTTAGACACAAAGGGAAACAAAACAGTTGAGTATTTTTAAATGAACCTGTTTTTTTTTCTTGCTGATGTCGATTCTTCATTTTATTTTCATAGTGATGACTCTTTTGTTCTCCAGATAAGGATGTATTAATTAAACCACTGTGTAAGCAGACTTCCATACAGTTTACTGAAAGCAACATGGTTAGCTGTTGCTTTAAAAAAAGGTTATGTAGTTTTACACTGCATGTCTGTAATGTATATTAATGCACATAAAACATAATTTTTCTTCAAGAAATATCCAATGTTTTTCTTTCTTGCAGCACGAAGTAAAGACAGTACTCAGACTGTATGGCAGAGGTTCTTCATGTTGCATAGTTTCCATTGTGTCTTGAACTCTGGATGAAGTTTTAATGCGTTACGACTAGGGGTGTAACGGTTCACAGAAGTCACGGTTCGGTTCGTACCTAGGTTTGGGGGTCACGGTTCGGTACAACAAGAAAAAGCAAAAAATAGTCCCAAATGCATAATTCCAGGTTTGTTGTTATTTATTTTTGAACAGTAGTGCAAGTTTCAGTTTAAAAATAAGGAACTCTGACATTTTGAATAATTAACTGTAAACAGTTAAAAACAAACCACAAACAGTACCACACACACTCAGATGGCCATATTATCTATAATGGCTGATGTCAAACAAAAAGGTTTCATCAAGCTGTAAAACTAAAAAGAATGTCTTGAAAAGATTACATCATAAATAATAAGAAAGTGTTTCAAGAGCGCAAAGTCGTTGAAAAACATATGCCAAAAGCTTCCGTTATTTATTTTGGTTTCACGGCTTTCATATCTATTGGTTTCTTAAAAACAGCGGGGATCAGCTGTTGAACTGCTGTTGTCTTTTGCCGGGCTCCGGTGATTGGCAAATCTGGGTGATGCCTTCTGATATGATTTAGCATGTTTGGCGTGTGTTACCATTAGCATACCGCACCGCTATCGAACAACGCCGACACACCGTCCTCTTCCGATCCACCACTCGCACACTTCATCGTTATTGTAGTCCACAGGGAACCCAAAATGTTCCCACACAGCTGATTTAAAAGAAGCAGGTGGGTTCTAGCTCCTGTGTGTTAGCTGACATCGCCATACTAACTTTTCTTCTTCTTGGTTGCATTCCAATAGTCCATTTAGCTTAGGAACCTTCCTAACCAAGTGAAATGACCCGGAAGTACGTCACTGGCAGCCATGATAAGTGCCGTTCCAATTCTCTAAATGAAAGGAAAGGAGGTTTCAAACTTCCTTTATAACCTCCTTTAGCTTAGGAACCACTGGACCTCCCTTGACGAAAGGAGAGGAGAAAATGCTGCCCCACAATGCATTGCAGCCGCAGCATTTGCCGTCACTCAACAGTCGGCCGTTCACGGAAACAACCGATTATGACAGAGAAATTATATCATGAAAGTTACGGTGCTTATTAAGCATTTTAAAACGTATGTGGTAAGTTGCCAAAGTGCTTTGTTCTGAACGTTCATCAGTATTATAATCAAAAAGAGAAATATGAACGTTAGTTTTTACTGAAATGATCAAATGAAGTCAACATTTCACTGAGCTGTGTGGAGTTTGTTCAACTTTTAAAAGATGTTTGAATGGTGATATACACAGTGATAGATGTTAAGGACTAACGTTTATAATAAATACATTTGTATTGATTTTAAGATATTTTCATACAATCATACGTATTGGGATCATTTGTATTAATGTGGACCGGAGGGAGAGGGTGACGAGCATAAGTTTCACTTTCCTTTTTTATTTCAATTCCAACTTTGGTCATGAAGAATATGTTTCTCTGTTGTCCACGTTCATAAAGCATAAAGCAACAGCGTCAGAGCACGGTGCAGAGTCTGATGAGTTTACAGTAGTCCCTCCTTCTTATTATACATCCATGTTGTAGTCCGCTATAGAAAACTGTAGTTTCCATAGTTTCCCCACAGCAGCAGACGCACATTCATGACGTCCGCTGGCGCATCATAAATGTAGAGGAAACTTCTGTGTAGCATGCAGTGGAGTCACCGACTCAGGAAGGAGACACGGGAAGAGTCGGAGCTTTGATGTCAAACCACTGTGATTTATTTGGAGTTGGTACCAGAGTATTCACATCACAAATCCAAGAGTCAGAGGTTCTGACTCCACGGTAGAGTTGCCACGTCAATTCTGGAGAGCCTCTCTCTTGCCAGCCCATCTAACTGGTTTCGCAGAGAGTAAACAACATATTTGAGGAGATAGCCTAAACAGTGTGGGAACACAGAGCTACTTGCCTCGGACACTTATGACCTCGAAGATTTTACCTTGGAGTCCACAAATACAGAGAAGGAAGTGTCCCAGTGTACCCACAACACAGACCATCTGTATCCCAGTATTGACCGGTCACAGAATGGGAACAATAACATTATTGGCTAAGCCGCCTGTGTCCTTAAAGAAGGTAAACAGACATCGAGGTTTGCCCTGTATGTTACAAATTGGCGTCTTATGATAATTATTTCCATAACAATAAACACGTCTGATAGTGAAAGTGCATTCGGATTCTCTAAAGTACTGCAGTCTCTTCTCCTAAGTCCTTTTGAATTCTATCCACTATCCCTTAACGTTTTACTCAGAGGTCAATGAATAGGAGATAGGGTTAGAACTTAGGAGCTGATTTTTGGATTATCGGAACGCAACCCTTGTATTTAGTTCGTTTTGTTGTTGTGTTTCTTCTTCTTCTTCATTTGTTGTTTAAGGGCGGCTGGCAAACAGCTTTTAGGCGCAATACCGCCCCCTGGATTATAAATAGTGTAATGGATACTGCCTTGAATGACAGACTTTTTTCCCCACTCGTAAAAAAAGGCGTATTCGTCGTGTGACTGCATGTGCCGAACCGTGACGGTACGGGACGAATACGGATACCGTTACACCCCTAGTTACGACGTGTTGTTCTGGGTAGCAAGCCAAAACTGGGCGTGCTGTCAAGCAGCTACATAACAAAGCAGAGGGTTAAATGCTGCAGGACCTCAGCCTGTAAAGAATCTGAAGTAATTAAGGCACATTCAGTGTACAACATTTAGAAGTTATAACTAAATAAACACTATGCTTTGTTGTGTGCACCTGATTGCTGGTGTTGTACATTTTGCTTCATCGCGTGGCATTGCTCTACAGCCGAGCCAGGAGCAAAGCAGTAACTTCTTTCTTCAGGTACCCAGAGGTAAAAAATGACATTAAAAACACCCCCACTTTGAACAACAAGACGAGGGGAAAACCGGTTGGTGAAACAAGTAAAGCTATCAAGTATTTGTTTCCACCCAAACAGAGGCCTACATTAAACGCCTTAGACTAATCCTCCCTGAGGGTTTCTGAGGACGAGGTTGGGTAAGAACTTACAGGAAGGCAGCTTCTCTCAGCGCTGCGGTGCATCCTCTCCATGTTCAGCATGGGTCTGAACAGACGGATGTGGTTGTCAACTCCACGGAAAGCCTTCATGCCTTCAAACAGCTGCAGAGACAGAAACACACAACACGTTTAGTATCAGAAAGTTGATCTCCAACTCAAGAGGGTTTCTCGTTGAAAACAGCAACAATGGAAATGTCTTTGTCGATTTCATTATTGCAACAATTTAAGGTAGCACTCCATTTGATTTTAGGCTAACCACTCAGGTTTCCCTGCAACTAAATGGCTGAAGTTAAAGCTGTATCTATGTTTACATTAAAAGCTACTGAGTTTTTGAATTGAGCTTTGAATGTCTGTTATGACATCATTACCTTGATAACAAAATTAAATGTGATTATATGTTATTTATGTCTGTTGCTGCAAGACATACAGGTCCATGCCCCCCTTTGGGTGTTTTTTTAACCGCAGTTAAAAAGTTGATACTGAAAGGTTAAACGCCAACAAATATTGAATGAAACTTAACATATTTTGTGAATCTTGGAAATGATTACATCTTTGTTTATTTACTAATAAATGATGACTTTTTGATTTTCTGGAGGTGGTAGCAATCCTACTCAGCGACCACTGGAACTTCATTCTACAAATAGCATAATACTAAGATAATTATTCCATCCTTATCTTTATGTGCAGGAATATCAGGTTAAACAAAATGAATAGACATTAGAGAAAAGAGAAAAACAACATTTGATGCTAATATGCAATATGAATGTCAATGCTAAGAATGAAGCTTCTAAGACGTGAACTTTAGTTATAAACCCAACCCAACAATCATGGTTACATGGATACATGGTTGATAACGAAACATCCTTTAATTTGTAAGAGAAAGTAAAGACAATTACAAATAACACATCTGCACAAAAGATTTGAGTGTATACTTACTTCTATGGAGTAGTGCAGGGCGGAGCTGGCCGGGTGCAGCGACAGGTTCTGGAAAGGTTTGATCTGAGGAGCCTGCCAGCCGTCCTTCTCCGACCAGTTGATGGTCAACATGTGGTCGGAGAACTGTTTTCCGAACACCAAGGTGGAGGGGTCGGGCTTCTGCTTACATGCTGCATTGCGTTCAATGACAATATCTGCTGCCTGATGTGCAGACGGAGAAGCAAGCCGGAGGAAAGCAAGAAGTGGACGGAACAAGAGCAGAGCGGGCGACGAGTACAGTGATTGTTTTTAAATCAATAATTGACAGAGCATGCTTAAAAGGACAATTAGCTGTTATAAAGAGTCAGTTGAGATGCTGACTCATCTTGGCAATTAGACACAATTAATTAAGTTAAGTTAAACTGAAATAAATTACTACAACAGGCAGACAGTGAGGGAAAGACAAAGAGGAAAAGACACGTCAAGTTTTAGGCAAGTTAACATAGACTTACTATAGAGGTTATGTATCTTTTCTTAGTAAGATTACTTCCTTCTTTTTATGATGAGGAACACATTGTGCTCTGTCGGACATTAACAGGCCAGACAGACCATCAATCAAACAGTTTGGAGATGGGACAGGCCTCGACTTGTCGAAAAGAACATATCTCTCATTACCTTAAAGGAGCTGGCCAACCGCAGTGAGCCAAAGGAGACGGGGAGGGCCTGGAGAAGTCGTCCATGAAATGTCTGCAAAACAAACACAACAGAAACTCTTTACTATTTATACACAATAGCGGTAATCACAAGCAAAAAGGTTTGAGGTCCAGACACCATGTTGCAATACTTCATAGATCTATCATCTATTCAGGTAACCACAATCCAATCAGCTGAGGCGATACACAAGGTCACCATGTATGACATTGTGTGATCGTAGGGGGGGGGGGGGGGTGATTTAGCACCAATGGTTTTGCTTGCAGTTCAAATTATGCAGCTACATGCCTGCAGGAGACAGCCAGTGCTAAGTGTTGTGCTGTAATTAGAATCAGACACGTATGTAGGCTATGGTACATGCATTGTGATGAATGCAAGGTGTGAAACTAGTTTGGAGGGTATCTGTGGCAAAAGGTCCAAAGAAACCACTACTAATAATGTAACTGATGTTCTTTCTGGTAGTCTAGTTGTGATTTTGGTAATTTAGTATACAAGGGTGATCATTAACAGTAACATTCACAATATGGTGCTGATCATTTGACTGAGTCATATGCTCATTTGACTTGGCAGTGGTCTAGGGAACCGCCTACTTGATGCTTAAGAAATTCCAAAGAATTACAGCGACTAGGGAGCAGGATCCCGTGTGTGCTCCTTGCTGAATGGATGATGCAAGATCTGACATTATTGCGATCATAGGTTTATGCATGTATATACATGTTTACTTTGTGACATGCACGTATAAATCAGATTCATGACTGATCTCGTTGCTTCTCAATTGTTACCCACTAAAGTGAAATGAAAGCAAGTGCTGGTTCGTATTTGTGCATATCAGAGCCAGTAACAAACCAATGTTCATATCCTGCAATCAGATGCAAAACTCAGGTAAAACTCAGTAATATGACCATTCAAAGAAAACTCGATGCTGTCGTTGCCTATGAATTACTTATAATACAGTCTCGTGATCCTAAACAACAGAAGGATACATGCTTTTGGCATACTAGTTATCTAACAATCATCTTATTGACTTGACTGCCATCATCAACCAAAACCGTGCAAGATATGTAACATTTTAACAAACATTTCCACAATATCTTGCTTTTGTAGCAGCCGAATTCTATATATTGCACAAAGAAGATTTACAGAAGACCTTAAGTTGTGTTTTAAGAGGAGATTATGTTTTGCTCATCATCAATGCATTTCTAGTTTCCACTCTTTTCTCATGGAGTTTGGTGTGTTGACCTTTCCATACTGTATTGTTTTGCCAGCACGGAGGGGGCACGGTCGCACGGTGCAAAGCAGACTATTTAAAGGACTGGTTATCTTTCTCTGTCATTATCAGCTACCTTATCATTGTATTAAATGAATGATTTTCCCAGATGTTCATGTAAACAGATTATAAACAGCACACAGACGGTCGATTAACTCACCGTTCGCAGGGCTGCCATCTCCGCTACGTAACGATGTGAAAAGCGCGATTATTTGTTCGTGCGGAAACAACCACTCAAAGTCAACTTGAGTTCCGCTTTGAAATTCGAGACGCCGTCCGGCTGAGTTGGTGCAAGCTGAAAGCAGAAACCTCCCAGACATAAAATATCCCTCGTTATAGTCCTTTAACCGACACACTCAATATACTTTTTGAAGGGTTTATTGTGACTCGTTTATTTTGTTCGTGCCTGTCCTTTCTGGATAAATAATTAAACATCACTTGCACTGTTCTGTAAGAAAAAACAATAGTGTAAGAGGGGGAAAATATATATAAAATCAGGTTAATCATACAAAACACTAACTATAATGACTGGTTTTCATTCATGAAGTCATTGAGGGCGTGACAAAAGCGTAACATCTGATTGGCGGACAGCAGCAGGCTGGGGGAGGTTATTCGAGGTCACACCGGTCGATGCGGATTGGTCGCCCGCTGGGGAGGTGCAGCTCGTCCTGTTTCACACAGGTTTCACAGCACATTGTCCGGGAGACCAAGGGGCAAGGGCCTTTCTCATTTCACTAATTTCCCCTCCTCGAATCCTCGGTCCTCCGGAAGTGACCCGGATATGGTTTTCGGCGCGCCATGTTGATCAGTCAGGAAGGGATCTGACTCTTGTAGCCGTAGTCGAGCTCAGCCCCCCCGCTGAGCAACAGGTCGATCCCGGTGCAGAACGTAGCATCTGTATGGGCATAGATATGTCTCATAATTATTTGTGTGAACATAAAAATAATTTGTGTGTAAATATGTGATTTGTAAATGTAAAACAACATCCACAAATGCATTTAAAAGATTTGCAAACTCACAAATACATTTGCAAGTGTAAAACGGATCTGCAAATACGATAAATATGTTCACAAATAAAAAAAGATCTGTGAATATCTCTTTAACATTTACACCTTTCGATCAGGCATTTGTGAATCCAATTTGTATTTGTGGACCAAAAATGCGCTTGCGGATCTCAAATCTCTGTTCACGGATCTCAAATCTCTGTTCGCGGATCGTCTTTTTACACACACGGAATTTTGAGACATATTTTCCGCCGGTCTCGGCTAAAATCTACTCGTGTCACTCGGTTATTTTCGGAAACCACGTGATGGCCCGCTGATGGCGACATTTCCGCATGATTTCAAAGTAAGAGCATGATGGTTTGTTTAATGCTCTGTTTTTGTATTATAATGAACAGCGGAACGCTAGATGCATTCTTCATCACCATCACCATCATCATCATGTTATAGTGATACAGTTAGTTTGTGTGCAGCACCCCGGAGCTGCTCCCCCGGGACCCAAAAGTGCCTGCACTTCAACATCAACGAAAGTGCTCGATATATGCTATATTGAATCAATAACACAAACTAACTGTATCACTATAACATGATGATGATGGTGATGGTCATGAAGAATGCATCTAACGTTCCGCTGTTCATTATAATACAAAAACAGAGCATTAAACAAACCATCATGCTCTTACTTTGAAATCATACGGAAATGTCGCCATCAGCGGGCCATCACGTGGTTTCCGAAAATAACCGAGTGACACGAGTAGATTTTAGCCGAGACCGGCGGAAAATATGTCTCAAAATTCCGTGTGTGTAAAAAGACGATCCGTGAACAGAGATTTGAGATCCGTGAACAGAGATTTGAGATCCGCAAGCGCATTTTTGGTCCACAAATACAAATTGGATTCACAAATGCCTGATCGAAAGGTGTAAATGTTAAAGAGATATTCACAGATCTTTTTTTAATTTGTGAACATATTTAGCGTATTTGCAGATCCGTTTTACACTTGCAAATGTATTTGTGAGTTTACAAATCTTTTAAATGCATTTATGGATGTTGTTTTACATTTCCAAATCACATATTTACACACAAATTATTTTTATGTTCACACAAATAATTATGAGACATATCTATGCCCATACTTTTGCTACACTGTGATAAATGTGTCGCAGAAGTAATTTTCACCTGTAGATGTGGGGGGAGGGGTTGGAGCGAAGGGGCGGAGCTAGCAGAACAACGAGGCTCGGGTCAGTCACACAGTCACAGCCAGTCACGTCGAACCGGATGACTGCGGGGCTAACGGTTCGTGTCGCTACCAGTCCGCTGACATGGCGCATCAATCAACGGTAAATGTTGCCCATTACTTGCCCAGTATTACTTTGAATATTATTATTGTGATTGAGGATTAAATCCGCTTTGAAGTGGCCTTCGGTCGATTTTGGCAGCATCTACGTCTATCTTCTGGAAACACCAGGTGAATACCCCACTTGTCACAATAATATTATCATGCCAATGCATATATGTGGTATTTTAGAGTTGACTATATTGATTAAGGCAATAGACTATGATATTCTGCTTGCACCTCGTGTGAAATGGCGGATACCGGAAGTACGGTGTCGCCCTCGGCCCAAAACCCGTATGTGTGTGTGAAAGATATTTTAGTTTATGATTCAGCCTTGGGTTAGACTTTTATAGTCTATGGCTATGACGCCCATAATGCTAAACGGGAGCAAATGTTAATAGGGGACCCAATTATCCCAGTGGTGGCCGCCGGAGCTAACGGAGCCGCAGGGGGCTAGCTCCAGCCGGCGTCCCGGAGCTAGCCCACTGCGGCTCCGTTAGGTCCGGGCGGTGGATTTCCGTCTTTTCTTAACGTGTGAATGACAAGCATTAAGAATAACAAAATATAGCTAATTCTCTTGCAGATTGTCTCATTTGATTATGAATGTAACGTTTATATAGGGGAACTACACTGTTAGCAGTAACTTGGTATGCATGTATTTCATGTTAGCTTAGCTTCTTAGCCTGAGCTAGCTCTGTTTACTTCCAGTTCGGAGGCAGCAGGTCCCGCCTCGGCTCCGCCTCTTTGCCCTTATTTGGAGCAGGCGGGATTACACTCTGACGTCACAGTCGAGCCGTTAGTGGCCGACTCCGCCTACTAAGGGCTTCACGGCAACTCTGCAGAATCCTATGGGTGACGTCACGGACACTACGTCCATTTATATATACAGTCTATGATTTCACAGCACATTGTCCGGGAGACCAAGGGCCTTTCTCATTTCACTAATTTCCCCTCCTCGAATCCTCGGTCCTCTGGAAGTGACCCGGATATGGTTTTCGGCGCGCCATGTTGAAGGACATCTCGGCCCATTCCCAAACCGCCCCCTACACCCTACCCCTCCGTTTGCGCGTTCCCGCGGAGGGTCCGCCATATTGAGGGCTGTTCCAAAGCAACGAGTATGGAGGGGGAGTGGGCTATCAAACCCTCAAACAGCGAGTCTGCAGCGGTGCTGACTTGAGACCGGTCTCTACCTGACCGGAGTCACGCTGTGTGTGGAAACACGCTGTTAACAAGTAGGCTAGTTCCAGCAAACATCCACTGATAAATTGCGATGTTAACAACCTCATATGTTTTTAACTGTTTTTATACCTGTGTTTAGTCTAGAAAAAGGTAAATGTGTGCATTTTATTATAAAGTTGTGTATATTTACAGACTGTTACAAAAACAAAGAAGCTTATAAACATCAGGTTTAAAACTAAAAGAGCTTTGAAACACAATGAAAGATGTTTGGAGTTTTATTTGAGTTATTCATTTAAACTTTTTGTCTAAGAGATGCTGATTTGAAACCGTTACATACAGTTACGGCATTTCCTGTTTCTGCCGGAGAGAGGGGAGGCCGTCCCAAAGCTTGCTGCTCTATTTACTCCCTCCATCTGACAGGAGGGAGCCTCGTTGAGCTGCGAGTGTGGCTACAGACGGAGTTCACTCCATCACGGAGGGGTAGGGTCGAGGGAGTGGTTTGGGATTGGGCCCTCATTTCTCTACATGCACGTCGATGACCGAGCGTCGAGGAGGCTCTCTGAAGGAGCTATAATCGAGGATACACTGATGGGTCCTCCACGGATGCATTTCCGGCAAACAGTGATGTTTAAAAGAGTCGTGACCAGGGGCCTCATTTATAACGCCGTGCGTAGGATTCACGTGGGAAGGTTGCTTACGTAGTAGAAATCCAAAAAATAGGTACAGACATTTTCCGATTCACCAAACATTGCGTACCGGCGAGGAAAGTGCGTACAGCACTTCCTACGCCGGTTTCCCTTTATAAATCACAATCGACTCGAAATGCGGTGCAGCTTTTGCGGGCTTCACGTAACGCCCATATTTGCCTATAAATAGTCAAAGAAACGCCCATTCATTCATTCAGACTGACTTTATGAAGAAGATAGCAGGAAATGACGACAGAACAGCTAAAAAAGACATCTCACACCGTGTCAGATTTTGGTTATTTTGGGGAGGTCGAGATAAATCATATTGTTTGGTGGATGCAGTTTGAACCAGAGTAGCAGCATGGAGGTCGGATCGTCACCAAAATAAATAAATAAGTGGTCCAAAAAAGGTTAATGACAAAAAAAATACACATAGCCTTCCTCAGGCAGTGTGTTTGTACCGGGGACAGGAGCACACCCTTGATGAGAAACTGTAAGAAATGATCGGGGAATCCCTCCGGAGTGGAGTCATGCATGACGACTGGATCTGAATTATGTTTTCGTATTTGGTGGTTTGTGTCCCAGCTGTCGATCAGCTGTGCGCAGTGTCTCCACTGCAGCCTGTGCATCTCCCCCCCCCCCAGCAACTCTATATCCACCAGTTAGAGGAAATACAACTATGTGTTGTGTTATATTAGCTGTACAATTGACCACATATGGTGTTCTTAGTTTCCATACCTCCTGTGTTTTATGAGCGACTTATCAAGTCTTAGCAAACGGCATAAAACATGATTAAACATGGTAGTATATAAAACCATGCTCGTACAACCTATAGAAATGCAAAACCGCATAATTTATGAGAAAACATTTCATAACATTAACACAATATATTCAAGGTGGTTTTAAATAACATATTAGATATTATATCCGTATTTATTTCTCCAAGTTATGTTTTAGTGTGCACTGAGGAGTCTCAAACAGGCGTTTGTTTAATCATTTTAAGATTGGCTTTAATCAATGTTTGAAAATGAATTCTTCATATATGATAAATGAGTGGTAACATTTTATTTATGGTATTATTTCCACATATTTCTCTCCATTCTTCCTTCTGCCAACGGTGTCGCAGTTTCTCGTCTCTCCCGTTTTTGTGCTTAGTGCGTACGCATGGGTTAGAGTTTGCGTGGAGGACCCATGGATGTATAATAAGAACTGGATACAGCGTGGGAGGCGGGGCCTCATTCATTCCTATGAGAG